GGTACGAAAAGTGCAAAAACGCATAATCGCACCGGCCCGCCTGGTGCGTTCCAGCCTGGGTTTTTTGCATTTTTAACCAAGCTTTTTCCCTGTACTTTATACAACAATTGCGGTTTGTGTAACAAATCGAAACTTCCGGAATTAATCTTTGGTTTAAGGAAAAAATGCTTCTTCGTGGTGGCATCATTACTTATTTCAGATCTCTAGTACTTTTGTTTATGCCATTTATTTAGATAATAGCGAGCGGTAGTTCAAGGAAAATGGATTTGTTGATTGCTGTAAATGATGATCGGGAAATTATTGAAAAACAACAACAGCAAAAGGAACACTTCCAGAGGTTACCAGAATCGGTAAGGGATAATCTTTTTGAAATACTTATTTTGCCTTGACTGGGAATGAAAAGTATTTTATGGATATAAAAAAAAGGTAAAAAAAGTAGAGGCAACATTTTTTAACCATTAAACAAAGAAATTCCAAGAATATCAAGATCGCCAAGACATCGGGCGTGAGTGTCTCATGTTAGGAAGCTGAACGCAGTTGTGCTTGGCTCCTTCTTAGAATGCAATTCGGCATTGATATCCATCTCTCGTTCAGTATATGAGCTGCACTTTTTTTCATAGCTTGCCCGAATGGTTGTTTACTTTCTCAAAGATGTCATAGTTGTGCACAGCATCCACTAGTTGTCAACCAGAAAAGCAGTATGCTTCTCATCGAATTTCACTTATTTGTTTGGTTGAATCAAGACTGTTCGCGCCGCTCACTGATGGAGAGTCTGATTGTTTATATGGTCACGAAGGGACAAACCAAGTGGGAGCCCTTTTTTTGCAAAGGATTGTGGATCACGAGGGCCGATAATGTAATGGAGGACATGGCATCATTCAAAAAATCCGGAAATATTGAAGATGAATGGTTCGATTCCCTGTTGTTCCATAATTATTTGCAAAAGAGAGGTCCTGCAAAAGTTAACAGTTATCAAGGGCTGTGTGCTACATTGGGTTACAACAGCCACACTTATAAAGAATGCGTATAGTGTACCATAAATAAATGGATGTATGCTCCAGCTACTGGGTTAAAAGCATAAGGGTCGTTAGTGCAGTGGTTTAGTACATTGCATTCGAATATTAAGACGAATGGTTTATATGACTTAATGGACCGAAACGTCTTAACTCTCTCGTAGTTATTTTTTCTACACTACCTATATTTCTACATCTTTCATTACATAGTCCGTTCTATTCTTACCCTATTTAAGTTCTTCGTATTACTTGTATGCTACAGTCATGCTATAATCAGCTTAGTTTCCTCCTAGCCCATACCCGTTTTGCAAAAAAGAGCTTCATTGGCGAGATCGAGCAAAGATCCATCTTTTTTTTTTTCCAGGACCAGCAAAACATTTACGAAACAACTCTTTTGCACTGTGCAGCATTTTATGGTCTTGAAGGTCTACCACCACAAAAAATTGCCAGTGATGCAGGAGGCAGGACATATATTCTGATGGATTCTGTACCTGTCAAACGCTTGATTGCTGTTTGTCAGAAAGCAATTAAACTTGATCTGGTGATGATTGCCGAGGATCTCAGGCGTAGAAATCAACTGTATTACAGGTATGTCTGTCCTATATTGCAAAATATCATTCATATGTTTTATACTTTTGAGGAGAGAAAAAATTTTCGAGGAGTTGATGCAAGTACGTGTAAAAACGGCAGTTACCAATCTCATAAAATTGGCTGCATTTCTATAATATTGAGTTTCCATGCCGAAAGTATGAACTACTGTTTTATCCCACTATAGTATAATACGTCCTTGGATCAGCTACTAATCTACAATCTTGTTTTTCCAGCTGTACATTGGCCAGTTTTTCCAGTTGATTTCTCCAACACTTTGTCATCTGATATTTAGCCTGTTGGCAGACCGACGACCGTTGCTAAACCTCGGCTCAGCTGAACCACCCCTCCCTTCTTCACATCAACCCCAACCCCCTTCTCCGTATCCTAAATCCCACACCCAAAAAATATGCTCATGCATTGCCAGCCTTCCTTCCCCTTCCTCCCTCTTGTGCCCTCTGTAGTGTACTTCCCTCCCGAACCGCAGCAAAAACCAACAGCACCAATCCTCCTCCTTCCCACACATCACCGTCGTCCCCCCTCTCCGTTGCTCGTGGCCTTGGCAGCTGCCAAGGGGTCCGCGCCAAGTAACTACTCAATCCATCCCATCAACCCACTCCCCCTACCTCCAGTTCACGCCTCCGGAACCCCGCACACGCCCTCCTTCCACTCTTCCATCACCACACCATGCGCAGCAGCATTGCACTCGTATTTGTGGGCAAGCCGACGCGAAAAAATCGTTCGGAGATCATGTATGGATTGGCCGAGCCGAGCCAACTTTTAGTAATTGATCGACGCTGTGTCTCGCTCTTTAAAGGAATTAGTAGCTCAAAAGTTTTCCCAATAGAAGCATTTGGCAGTGTTTCAACCACTTTAGTGTTTTACCCTCAAACAAAAGTTTAATATGTCTGTGTGTACTCCACAAAAGGAGTTACTCGAAGCTGATTTTGAAACTTGGCCCGTTTCTCCCTAAATAATCTGGTGATTTGGTGATCAGTATTTATGAGTTATTAGTAGTTAAGAGACGAATAAAACGAGCAGAGAATTTATTAGAAAATGGGATTTACCCACCTCTGGACACATGACACGCCCTTGACGTATAGTTCCAACCCCCATTTTAATTCATTTATTATGTCACTGCATTTTGCCAGCATTAATGCTACTCTTTCCAACACTTACTTTAAAAAAACATAATTCAAAAGAAATGTTAAAAAATGGAAAAGACAGAAAGCTGAATGAAAATGTTTTTGTCCCTTTTTACGAAGAACCCTGCAGCTTTATTTAATGCTCCATTCATGAGGCATCATATGCGAATTGCAGAGCTCAAACACAGGATCCAGCAATCACGAAATTGGTTACCGAGCTCGATGCACAAGCAGCAAATTGGGATAATACGAAGAGGAGCAATGTGCGATTGCCT